GTGGCTGCTCCATGTACATTTCCTGGCGTGGTTGTTGGCCTCCGTTGTAAATATCAGGCTGCTGTGGTTGCTGTGGAGGGGAACTATTCCCATACACATCCTGCTGAGGCTGTTGCTGTTGTCCTCCATTGTTACCATAGACTTCCTGTTGTGGCTGATGTGTAGTATTGGTCCCATAGATATCTTGTTGCTGGTGTTGGTCTCCGTTATTGACGTACATAGTCTGTAGATCGGCGGTGGACGTGGGGACAAACATGGATGTGTCCTCCAGCGTCTGCTGCTGGTTCTGAGGGGCGTTCTGCGTCTGAATCTGCGCTTGCTCTTCGTCGTTCAAGAGAAGTACACGTACGAACGCGTCCTTGTTGCGGCGACGTGGATTGGTCTTAAGCTGGCGCTGAGTGATCTCGCGCTTGAGCTGCATAAGAGTCCAGTCCTTGTAGTCGTCAGAGCGCGGCGGAGAGCAGCGATCGTCGCCCTTAGCGGACCACAAGCGCGACACCTTTGGAGCGGTCCACTGCGATAACGGAACGTTCATCATTTATGGGACTGAAGCAGAGAACTGCTACAGCAATAGCCATGGATCCGACTTCAAAACAACAACAGAATATAGTCAGATCACAGTCACTTGCTGGAAATACCAGACTAAAGTACCTTGCCAGGTCGCATAAGGAAACGATGCAAACAATGATTCTCCGCTAGTCGAATCCAGCGAGAAACGATCGAAAAGTCCGTCTTCACCTTGAGGCTGGACAGCTTCTTCTCTCGATAAGAATGTCTTCCCATCCAGAATACCTTCAAACACATGCGATCGAAATCCACTGTGCGAAATATACAGCAAATAGCTCTTAGACGAGTCCACTGCAGCGCCAGTAATCGCCTTGAACGAAACAACCTCACTAACTCCAGGTTGCACCACCGCCGGGGCTACCAATGGCAGCACAAAGCCCAATGTTTTATCCTGTTCTCCACGCTCTTCTTTTCTCTCCACTAACGTGAGTCGATACAAATGCAACGGCGTCTTCCCGTCATTCTTGACATGCAACTGGACATGTGTGAAGAAGGTTTGGTCCTTTGATTCCTGGGTCTCTCCTTCATCATCAGACCAAATCAGTGTCTCCCCTAGAATAAACTGTGGCAATCCACTGCCACTATTCGGTAGTTCATAAGCTGGGGAGACCGGTACATGTCGTACCATTCCCGTCGTTTGGTCCAGCGAGATTCGCTTTTCAGTCTCGAATAATCTGTCCACTTGTCGCTTGGCTTCACGTCCCCAGGTGTCCATGTCCTCTTCGACGTCCATATTGGACCTCGAACACAACGATGCAATGCCCATCAACGCGATGGTGGACGACTCAACGTTCATCGGCTCCAAGACGCAGTCCACCGCGTGCAGTGAATATGTCCTCAAGGACATCTTTAAATGGCCCATCACTGCGTTCATAGGTGAACTTCGGAGACATCCTGTCCCTGCAGATGCTTGTGTCTCACTGCCCATCGCGTCCTCCACGTCGCGACTGGGGAATGCGATTTCAACTCCCAAGTCTAGACAAAACACGGGCGGCGCAGCGTCTACAGGGGTCTCGTTGTCGATATTGCTGCGTAGAGACGCCGGAATTTCACTTACGGGGGCGGAGGATGCATAGTAAAGATGTACGAGCAGCAGTAAACACAGCAACAGAGGCGAACGCCCTTGACGTCGCCACAAGTCGTGCATTTTGAGCAGCTCTTTTGATGATGGATTCAAGGAAAATAGTCCTGATTGGTAGAAAC